AAATCAATACTTGGGGACAATATTAAATTAATTTAAAAACAATTTATAAATTATCAAAATGTATACATTTTGCATTTTTAAGTTTAAAAGTTTCATATTGACTTTTTTTATTTTGAAATAGAAAATGTGAGTGGTGTTTTGTCTGTGTTAAACATTTATGGGTGGCTGCTAGGGTGCTGCTAACTCTAAATTCTTATAAAGGAATAAATGTAAATGAAACGTATGAGCAATAAAAATAGCAATGATTCACTAATAAAAAAAAAAATGATATTACAAGGCAAAATGCTCTTAATTCTAAAAATTCTAAATATTGTCTCTAAACACCTTGTTTTGTGCGTATACCATGGTACCATCAAATGGAGCTCTCTCTGTCTGCAGGTCATCCGTGTTTAGTTTCTGCACCAGCATCCCTCCCGATGACACCGTGATCTATCAGAGACATTATTAGCAGCACAATATGAGAGAGAAACAGGTACTTCTGTGGATGTGCACACATAGCTGTTACTACAATATAATCACACATCTATCATAGGTTGTGTCAAAAACACAATAACTGTTTATGTCTTCACATATGCATTGTGAAAGAATGCAAACTCGGGCAGAATTGTATTTAATAAATCAAGACATTGAGATCAGTGTTGTTTTTCACTCACAACTCGGGGGTCCCTGCTCTTCTCCAGCAGTGGGATCAGACATTTAGTCAGAACATAAACACCTGCAGAGGACAAGATTTGATTAAATAGTAAATTCAACATATATTCTATATTTTATAACATAATGTTTATTCTATAAAAGAATATTATACACTACCACTCAATTTTGGGGTCAGTAAGATATTTGTAAGAAAAAAAAGATTTTATTCAGCAAAGATGCATTAAATTTATCAAACGTGACAGTAAAGACATTTATAATCTTACAAAAGTTTCCATTTCTAGATAAATGCTGTTCTTTTGAACGTAATATTCATCAAAAATCTTGAAGACAAAACATTTATGCTGAAAATTCAGCTTTGCATCACAGGAATAAATGACTGTAATAGAAAACAGTTATTTAAAATCGTACTAATATTTAACAATAATACAGTTTTTACTGTATTTCTGACTGTTGTGTTTTACCAAGAGTATTGGTGGCAAAATTTTTCTCCAGTCCGTCAGAGTTCATTTCCCTCTGGTTCACCATACATCCGGCATTATTGATCTGAGAGGGATAAGTGTGGAAGACGAGATTAAAGGAGAGGATATTTCTTCATCTGTCCTGCACCTGTAAGCTTCAGCTGAATGCTGGTACTTTCTTTAATATAGTGAGGTATGATGGGAATCTCCTAAAGGAGCTCTCTCTGACACTCATACCAAAACACTGAGCGATGAGTGCTCCTTCTTAAAGGCCTCTGCGAACTCCCACACCTTTCTTGACTCGGAGAGGTCCAACACGTGGACGTAAACCTCCTACGATAGATGCACATCACAAAGTGAAAGCAGTGGAAGAAAATCATTCAGAAACCTTTTAAACACTGATAATTTTATTTTGTGTAACATTGAAGCATCGTAAGCAATAAATGAGACACTCACATTATTTCCACTCGCTGAGATGATTTCTTCTCTGGCTCTCTCGGCTCGCTCTTTGTTTCGGCAGACAATATGAACAGTGCCACCTTGGACAAGAGGGAAAAAAATACATAATGAATTAATATAGGTATCACATTCTTCAACGTTAAATCATGTGGCTTGTTGAGGAGAAGACTGATTTTACAGAATTCTTCTATGCAATTAGCAATTATTGCACGGCAGCACACTCAGAACAAATACAAATGAATATATGTAGAAAACTTAAGCAACCATACAACACCCTAGTATTAACAATGAGTTCTGCATGGGCTTTATTATGGATTATGGACTTGTGTTTTGGCCAGAAGTGACAGTTTAACGTTAGAACACCTTAATGATGGATTTGTTTCTTACAAACATGCAGTTTTTCATTTCACATGATTTTAATTGTTTAATTATTGTGATGTTTTTACCAGCTGTCTGGACTCTCATTCTGGCGGCACCCATTCACTGCAGAGGATCCTTTGCTGAGCAAGTGATGTAAAGCTAAATTTCTCTAAATCCCTTCAGATAAACAAACTCATTGTTGTGTAATATCAAAGAAATGCAATGGGATTATTGGGATAATGTATTGAATGTAGCGCATTGCTTACAGTATGTTATTATTTATTTTTGTTTCCAAGAAATGTCTTATAATGTATGGGCAGAGGTATACAATAACTGTTAATTATGTATATGTGTGTTACCCATGAGAAGAGGAGGGGCGGACGACAACCAGTACACAGAAGAATGTGCGTTTATGTGTGAATGTATGTTCAAGTAGGGTATTAAAGTACCATGGTACCATCTTCTGCCATCAATGTACTATAGTAACACCACAACAGATTTATGGTTAGAAAATAATATTGTAACCTCAAAAAAAAGTGTTTGTGTGACTGTAAAACATACCTTTTTTGGCTATGGCCATGGCTGTCGCCTTCCCTATTCCGCTGTTGGCTCCGGTGATCATGAAGGAACGGCCCACCATAGACACATCCAGGTCCTTTGCTACAAAGCTCTTAGAGGCATTCTCAAATCCAGACCTGCTGACAACATCCAGCACATGAATCAAATCAGAAACACAACCAGCATGAGCTGCGCTGTTATCCATAAAAGTGTGTTTTTATCACAATTCTTGAATTGTTATGTGACCACTGGACATCTGAGACAGAGGTCCTAAGACAAGAGCCCTGATCAGGGGCCAAAGGAGCTTCTGTGTAGGATGACAGGGCACTTGAGAGAGCGGCAGGGGTCTCAATAGGGCCCATTGTGATGCAATGATGACTGACCTTAAACTGAGGGCTTGGATGAATGCATGTCAGAAGAGATGACTCGGGGAACTACAAAAACAACATTTGTGCAAGAAACCACTACATCTAACAAGATTTGGCTTGCGAGAACACAATTTAAGACTGTGTTTTTGTAGCAGTTCTGAGCAGCCGCTAAATATATGCTCAGGCCAGAATAATTTTGTGTAAAATTATTAAAAGATCATAGCAATGAAAACCATCTCATAGCGATTATAAACAATAAAACACTAATTACAAAAGACAGTGCAACACACTTTCTCAGACTCTACAGTTATCAGCAACAAAGCAGCCCAATGACCACAACAACACAATAAACTGAAGAATTCAGTAAGAAATACAAAAAAAGACATTTACCTTGTATACTCCCTCATTCCCTTGATAAACCACACTATGTTCCTGTAGAGACACATTTGTAGCACTGTTGTTTCTTCTCAACTGGACTGCAGTGATATGACAGCTGACAGATGCATGTGACTACTGTAGCTCCAGAGGGCTCCCTCTAGTGTCAGATGACAGATAATCAATTACACACCAACAGGGTCATGCAAAAGAAATGTAGTCAGGTGTTCACGTTTCACAACTTTAGGCCTACAGATTGTGTTTTTCATTATTTAGCCTTTTATGCACAAAAATGACCTTCCAAATAGCCAAAACCCTCCAAGATTCACTGTAGCTTGCAAAACTTGCAATGTTTTGGAACAAATCTAGTATTGTTTTTATTCCCAACATATTTAGTAATTGCAAAATAGTTACTTCCCCAAAAAGTGTCAACCTACATTTTTTTTAAAGTCTCATTTTCTAAAAACAGTTTCATGGAAGAATAAAGTGTAAAATGAAGAATAAAGAATACTATTATTTAGAGTTGGGGTACTTGGACTCGGACTTCAATTATGAATGAACTTGGACTCGAACTTGACTCGGACTCGGACATTTTGGACTTAGAAATTGCACTGAGTACAGACGAATCCACGTCATGTGTAATAAAAGATAAAAAAAATACAAATATCATAAAATAAAAAAAAAGGATTATTTTCTCTTTAATACAGATAATGCCAATGTATTTTTCAACGAGTCGCTATGTTAGCAATAATAACGTTACCTGCTTGAGGGTAAGGGTTGCCAGGTTTTCATAACAAAACCCCTCAATTGCTACTCAAAACTAGCCCAAACTATCCGCGTTTCGATGGGGTCCCCCGGTAAAAATCGCGTTCTGGGGGCTAAAATACACATTATTGTAGTAATACAATATAATGTATTAATGACAATAATGTCATTAACAGTGATAAAGTAGCCTAATTCCACTGGAAAACCGCGGACTTGGCAACACTGTGACGGATAGTAATGTCTACAACGGACACGAGCGCTGTCGCGGCGCCACCACAGCAGCTTGAAGTTGTCTAATTTGGCACGGTCTCTCTGCTGCACTAATAGTAGTAAGGCTTTCCTCTGTGTATACATATCCTTACAAGTACAATTTTAGCTGTATTATTTGTGTCTCCTTCAAAATTGCTCTTGAGAAATTTTATGTTTATTGTCCCTTGACACGGACATCTTGGACTAAGACATTTCTCTGAGTACAGACGAATCCACGGCATGTGTAATAAAAGATTAAAAAATTATGATAAAAGATAAAAAGCAACAACATAAAATTAAGATAAAAATACATTAAATATCGTCTCCCATTGGTTAAGGACTAGGACTCGACTCGGACTCGACAAGGTGGACTCGGACCCAACACTACGAATTATTTATTATTAATGCCAGTTATTTTTCTGAGGGAAAATATTAATATTAACAAGATATTAATATTCATAATAGCAAACTGTACTTTAATTGTTATTATTATATGATTATTTTATAAAAAATAAAGTTTTAATGTATTCTTAATTGTGTTCTTAAGTGGGTTGCTTAACAATATATTCATTCATGCCATATCTATATTCATAAATGTCAAGGCAGCATATTACAAAAGGCGTTTAAAGGTAACGCACAGGAAAATATGTGAGCAGGGTGTTGCCCCGCCCCTTTTCAAGCCAGGTGCAGTGCTTCAACCTATCAGAGCTCAGATAGTCGAGGCGAATACAAGGCCGAGCGCTCAGCTACGCATCTGCGCATGCGCAGCTTTTCTCTCTCCCACAGTTTGTGAAGGGCAGCGATGACTCCGGCCTTGACCAGCTGGGAAGTGAATACTAATTTTGTGGATTTCAACATTCCTTCCGTATTTCTAACTTCAAGATGGTAAGTTACACAGTATATTCTTTTGACTTCGCCTAAAAGCACACATTTAAATCATAAATGTGTTGGGTGACAGGTCATTTCTTCCACAGGTCGTGCTCGTGCACCTGTCAGGAAGTATATGCGAGCGCACCTGCGGGCTTTAAAACTTCCGTCCTTCACGAGCTGCTTGTTTATCACTGATTAAAGAAAGCAGTGTCATTTAGAGCGGATGTATTTAATCTAAACTTGTTTTATTCAAAGTCTGAGCAAATTAATCGGATGCTGAGGGAGTTAAAGGTGTCGTTTTAGTGAAGTCATCTCATCTGTCTGGATAAACCGGTTGGTTCGTTTCCCTTGATATCGGACTGTCAGATTTCGACACTTCGTGTGTTCGTTGTTAGGAACCTTTTCTCAAAAGAAGAACGTTTATTGTGTATATATACCTTTACTGTGGAGACAAGTTGTGTGTAAAGTCCTAGTTTAGCTGACTTGATTTGGCGGCCAGGTAAACTCCTTTATCTTGTTCAAATAGGAGTTGCTCACTGTGTGTTTTACATTTGACTGCTGCTCTTCTGGTTAATGTGTGCTAGAATGAAGAGGAATATGTAAAGAGTTCTTTACAAACCAATCACAATATTACAAATGAAATAGGAACATTTGCTATTATTAAATATGTTTTTAATTGAGTAATATATTGATAATATTGATTAATAATATTTTAGTAATATATTATTTGTTAATAATATTTAGCGTTAAAGTATTTAAATTGTACTTTAATACTCAAACTACATGAAAAATATGTTGTAAAAAATATCATATATTGCTAAGTGTACTATTAAAATATCAGTCAGTAATCTATATAATAATAAAATATGCTCTTACATATGCATTTATAATATCAACACCCTTAAAATAATAGAATAAAATAAATACATTTAAAAATACATATTTTTAATACTGGGTAAAATGTTATAAAATATATTTTTATTAATACAATATTATTATTATATTATTTCTTAATATTATTGACACCTTTTTAGTCGTTAATAGATTTTAAAAGAATATAATTAAATGCTGAATGAAAAGTACATTTGAAAATACGTTCATAAAAACGTTTTTGTTTAGCTCTTAGATTAGTTTTGTTGAAATTTGGTAAGTGTTTGCAAAATCTCTCCAGAGTAGTAATACAATACATGCAGCTCCTCTGAAAATGCTTCATCTGATATTGTCTGTATGCATCTGAGTAATTACAAGTGATGAAGAAGTGGCCCTTTTAATTTCAAAGAGATAACAGCACACTGCAGAATCTCATTTAAACTGCAGCGAGTGTGTTTGTAAGCATGTTCTCCTGTGTGCTGTAGCCGCTCACAGCTGTGTTGACTCCAACAATAGAAGGAAAATGAAATCAGAGCATCACAGAACTGAAATCTAAGCAGGAACAGGCTCAGGAGGAAAATCAGAGCTTCATTTCAACCCTCCCCTATAGTGAAACTTTGTGTGTGGGAGAGAGAGGGAGAGAGGTGTGTGTGTAAGGAGTGTGGAAAGTTTGGAATGTAGAGATAAAGTTGTATGTAACTTAATAGCTGTAGCACACTGTTTCCTTTCTCTTCTCTTTTCCTGTAGTCGTGTGATAGGTGTTCCACGCTGAAGAAATACTTCAGAGAATCATTTTCCTCTGGAGCACAATAGTAGACCCGACTCAGTGCATGCTTCTGTTTCCTTGTTTTTTCCTTGTGTTTTCATCTTTCATCCCTCATCAGGATTTACTGAGGAAGCAAATAAACTATTTGCCAGCATGATTTGGTCATAACAACGAAGCAGCTGATGGTTCCATTTTCCCACCTGGTGTTCTTGCATCTGTGTGCATGTGTTTGCGAGCAAAATGAGTCGCTTGCAGCAGATTCATTAATTCTCTCGTTAAACATAACAATTGACTTTAGAGGAGGATAAAGCTTAGGACTGGTTGCTTCTTGACGGTTTGAGTTCTGTGAAAAATGACCAATGCATCACCATTATCATGTTCTTGTGTCATTGTACTTAAAGAAATGGTTCATGCAAAAATGAAAATTAGCTGAAAATGTACTCACCTTCAGGCCATCCAAGATGTAGATGTATTTGTTTCTTCATCGGAACAGATTTGGAGAAATTTAGCATTGCATCACTTGCTCACCTGTAGATCCTCTCTGCAGTGAATGGGTGCCGCCAGAATGAGAGTCCAAACAGCTTATAAAAACATCACAATAATTCACAAGTAACACGACTCTAGTCCATCAATGAATGTCTTGTGAAGCAGAAAAGCTGTTTGTAATAAAAAAAATCATCAAATTTAACTTCAAACACTTCAGCTAAAATACTAGTCCTCTATCCATAATATTGCTTTCTCTGGTGAAAAGTCGACTCATCTGAATCGGGAGAGAAAAATATCCACAGATCAAGCACCGTTTGCAAGTGGAAACCGTTCTAAACAAATATGTCACTGGATTTTAATTACAACAGGTGATGGATTTTTGTAATTAGAGGAAGCATTGTTATGGATTATAGGCTCATATTTTGGCCAGAAGTGACGATGTAAAGGTAAAATGGATTGTAAGCAGCTTTTCATTTCACAAGACATCAGTTGATGGACTGGAGTGGTGTGGATTACTTGTGGATTATTGTGATATTTTTATCAGCTGTTTGGACTCTCATTCTGACGGCACCCATTCACTGCAGAGGATCCATTGAATATAATGCTAAATTCTCCAAATCTGTTATGATGAAGAAACAAACTAATCTACATCTTGATAGCCTGAGGATGAGTACATATTCATTTTTGGATGAATTTTTCCTTTAACCCCAGGTTGCTCCGGGTGAATTGTACCGGTAATTAAAGTGAGATGGACTTTTAGCGTACTGCATGCAGTTATACTGTGTACTAGCTGCTTTTATGTATAACAATAAGCAATATGCAATGCAACAATTAATAAACATTTTGAAAAGTAATATGCTCCACTGTTGTCATATGACCACATTACACTGTTTAATTTAGCAGTTGGCATCTAGTCAACATATTGGAAATAAAAACATATAATTTGCACTTTTATTCTAATTTTGTGTAGAAAATGTGTAAGTTTCGACAGCATAATTAATGATTTAGTCATATTTAAGTGTTTTCTGTTCATTGGTCAGATAGTCGAATTGCATTCTGCATAGTGATTTATATTGCACATTTTAATATTTCTTTACATCTGTCATTTAAAAAAATATTTGAATTGTTATGAATGTCTCTGCATTGAATTCTTGTTTTATTGCTCATCATTACTCATTTCTGTGAAGTTTTTCTTATGAAAGGCCCTTTTCCACCAATAAAAGTGAACACTCCAGTTCCATTTTGTGTGTGTGTGTGTGTGTGTGTGTGTGTGTGTGTGTGTGTGTGTGTGTGTCTGTGTGTGTCTGTGTGTGTGTATTTAATCTCTTTTTTTCAGAGATGTGACTCAGGTTTCTGTTAATAGTTTTCGGTGTGGCCTGTGACCTGATAAGAAAAAAAGCAGCTTACTGCAAGTTTGTGTGACACAAAGAAAGCATCACATATTCTCTGCCCTGCCGTGACGTATGTCTATGAGAAGACAAAGCTTTTTCAAGCATTGCCAGATTTCTATGTAAACTGAGAGGAGGGGGAGGAGAAATTAGGAAGAGTTCTCAGAAGTTTTGCTCTCTGTATCGTTGCATTGAGCTGATTAGTTCTTGTGTGGAAAAGATTCACGCAGAGGTCCATCCAGCGGTTGACAGCAAATCTTTGACTCACGGATATTGAGTCTCCTATTGATTGGGTTTGTGTGACAGTGAAAAGGTTAGCCTGTCTGAAGTGTGGCTTGTCTCTTTCTTTGTATTTCCTGTTGCCTAAAATTTTATCTGTGGGCTTTTTGCAATTGTTGTTACAGACACAATAAGACATGGACAGGAAATTATGGGGAAAACGGGATCAGAACACAATGCAGGCCAGATATGAACCTGTGTTTCTTGCATGAGCACCACAGCTCAGCATGTCTAGATCTTGTGCACTAAGCACTTTTAATGTACTACCATATTTCCAGCACAGCTGTTTAAATGTCATTTCCAGCTTGGTGCATGTGTGATCTGGTAAATTTAAAGGAAAATTTAATTCAGTTTTAAAGTGTTTGATGTGAGATAAATACTTAGGAAACCAGTACACTTTGTAATATTCACTATGAAATTATAGAGTAGTCACAGAATGTCCGCCCACTTGAATCATTTTGGCCTTGACTCTAGTGTGAAACACTTTAGTCTACCTGCAGTGTTGCAGAATTTCTGTCTACCATCTGCTTGCCAGCAGCATCTGCAGAAAAACCCTGCATAAAGAGTATTTTATACATAGATTTATGACATTTTTTCCTTTTGAATGCATACGGTTATAGGTTTCTATGAATTAGGGGCCAAGCACCGAAGGTGCAATGGCACCTATTGTATCCGTTAGCGTCAATTTTCTTCTTCTTCTTCTTCCGCCGAAAGTCTATGGCAACCCATAGAACCGCTTGCGGGAGAGTTGTGAAATTTGGCACACTGATAGAGGACAGTGAGAAAAGTCACCATAGCAAATTTGGAGTCTCTAACTCTAACTCTCTAGCGCCACCACTTGTCCAAAATTTCAATTTCTTTATGCTAATAACTTTTGAACCGTAAGGCACAGAAGGAAAATTTTTTTTCCTCTGAATCCTTGGCTCATGCTGAGTCGAATGAACACCAAAATTCAAGGTTTAGTTTTTTCGCTATTTTTAATTGTTCGTAAAACCTACTTTTTCGAACTCGTCCTAGACGGTTTGTCTGATTCTCACCAAAATTGGCTCAGATCATCTTCAGACCATGCTGGCAAAAAGTTATGGAATTCAAGTTGATTTGTCCAACCGTTCTCGAATAACGCACGAAGGAATTCTACGAAAAGCACATAAAAATGGATGTGAGGCCATATCTCCGCAACGGTTTGGCGTATTGAAACCAAACTTGGTGTGTGTTATAACAAGCATGTCCTGAGACTACCTGCAGTGTTTCGGCGCCGTACCCCCTAGTGGTCAGGAGATATAAAAAATGCATATTTTTGCTTATAACTTCTGAATGGTTTGGCTAAAAATAACAAAACTGGTCTATTTAGATTCGGTGGAGCAATTGGAGAATGGAGAAATTTTTCTATGTCAGCCATTTTGGGCGTCGGCCATTTTGAATTTTGTAAAAAAATGCAATATTTTAAGAACGCTTAGACTTTGTTATTACGAAAATCGATATGCATCTTCGGCACCATGCCCTGATGTGTGTGTGCCATTGTCACTTCACACAGAACACACCAAAATGATTTGATTACAGCGCCACCTGTTGGTCAAAAGTCATAAGACATTCAATTACAATCATCCTAAAATTGCTTTTATTACTCATTGTTGCATTTGGTCTGATGCTCCATGCCATGCTTAGCTCCTCAATTTGCCTCTGGAGTGCTTGGCCCCGTGATTGCTGCTTGCAGCTATATTTGGTTTTATATTTGATACAGACCAATACAAAAAGCAGCATTAATATTCAAATGAATAGTAAAGGATTATTCAAACTTAATTTAGCAATGACACTTATACAGAGTGACTTTGTATTTTCCCTGTCAGCACCTTTCTCATGGGTGTGCTCAAAGGAACAATCTTGGTAACTCATTACTACAACCTTTGGATAACCAACCTGGATCATTAACCACTAGGCCACACCCATTCCAAAAGATGAAAGAATGAACCATCCAATTAAAATGCAAGTTCTCTTTTCCGACAGATGCATTTCCTATTGCTGTTCAGCCGTCAGGGGAAGTTACGGCTGCAGAAATGGTTCCTGCCCCTCCCGGAGAGAGACAGGAAGAAGATTGTGAAGGACATGACCACTATGATGTTGGCACGAAAACCACGCACATGCAACTTCCTGCACTGGAAGGATCTGAAGATTGTCTATAAGAGGTGAGCATTCAACCCAGGCCAAAGGAGAATGTCCTGAAGGAGTATATTTTGGGGGTATATTCAGTATGTGCTCCTCACATATGTATTGTAAAAGAGCATGCTGATTTCAAACAAAATGATGGCGTTTGATTCAGCATTAATTCAACGCCCAGCTGCTAGGCTCTCGTGTTTGGTCATTAGTCATCACAAGGTGTGAGCAGAAGTCTCTAAAATCTTGCAAAGCGGACACCTAGTCAGCAGTCAAGATCTTATGTGGCCTAATTAAAATACAACATGCAAAGGTTTCTGTGTCCATATAGAGTTTGTTGCCCTGTCCTGTCCTTCAGTCCGGTTCTCCTGCCATTACTGATGTCATTAGCTGACGACATGCCTCTATCTGAGTCCTCCTTGTTTTCTGGTGAAACCTAGTGGCAGCTTCCTACACAATGGCCCCCTATTACCCAATGGTTTCTGAAAATGGACCCACAAGCTCACAATGGGAAATATTAGTGTGTGATATTTCAAGTAAAACAGGACATTGCTTGATTTTGATAAATTTTTTATTATTTTATTCTGAATTGATTTGATCATGAAAAATAAGTGTTACATTCCTGAATGGAAGTAAAAATGACCTGAATATAAAATTGTCTGAATATAAAATGCAAAGAACCACTGAAGAACCATTCTGTTTTTGAGGGTGTGAATGGAAGTATTTTAGAGAATTGTGCTTCTGTACTTTAATGCTTCAGAGCCTGGCTACATTCTTGGTCACAGTTCAGATTTTTATGCTGCATCAAATCCTTCTGTCAGGCACTGTAACCTGAGAGTGAGTTTTCACACTTGTGTTCCTGAAATCCTGTAGATGGCAATTGTGAGGATAGTGTGTACTATTTTCAGATTTTTTATAAATAAAAATAAACGTCTATATGTTTTTTCACTTGTTTGTAGGTACGCCAGTCTGTATTTCTGCTGTGCTTTGGAGAACCAGGATAATGAACTTCTGGCTTTAGAGATTCTGCACCGTTATGTGGAGCTACTCGACAAATACTTTGGCAATGTAAATACATTCAGTTTCTTAATTTCTTAGCTCTGGAGCAAATATTTGGTGTATCTGATAAAAGATACTATACAATATCTTTTGATATATCCATTTATCCTTTAAGTCTCTTTTATTAAATACATCACATTTTTGTTATTAATTTATTTATTTTTGCATAGACTTTTCACTTGAACACATTATTTTATTCTTTACTCTCTTATTTCATTTACCAATTTCTGTCTTTGTAATATTACAGGTATGTGAGCTGGACATCATCTTTAACTTTGAGAAGGCTTATTTCATTCTGGATGAGTTTCTGATGGGTGGAGAAATTCAGGAGACGTCCAAGCTGTCTATTGCGAAGTCTATAGAGGCCTCCGATATGCTGCAAGAGGTGAGATACTCAATTTGATCTGCATTCAGGTTAATAAAATTGAAAAATTAAACCGAAAATTACGTTTATTTGTTCAACAGTATTGAAATAGAATTTAAAAAAAAAATAGAAAAAATGTAACTTTTTTTTATTTTCCATCTGTGTAAATTGCTGTTGTTTTGACAATTTCATAAAACATTATTGATTTGACAGAGAGAGAGAGAGAGAGAGAGAGAGAGAAATTAATGGATGGCCAGTCTGAGAGTGTGGTTTTACAGAGCAGCTCTCAGTACCACTAAATGCCAGTTTTCCTAGTATGCCTCAAAAAAATGAGACCACATTAAAAAAACAGTTCACCAAAAAATGTCATTTACACACCTTCAAAGCTGGCATATTGAGCGCTCATAGGACTATAGCATAAGGGGTATAAATGACATGAGGGTGAATAAATGATGACAGAATTGTCATTTTTGAGTCCATTGTTCCTTTAAAACCCATATGGCATCTAATCATTTGTTGTCCAAATATCATTCTAATAAGCAGGGTCCATACATCTGAAGGAGAGTTCACCTCTGTACGGAACGGGAAACTGAAATATCACTTAACATTATACAAAAGGGTAATCAGTTATGTGCCTGTTTTCTTCTCCTCAGACGATGGAAGAATACATGAGCAAACCAGCCTTCTGACAGCAGCTGACGTGATACAATGTGACAAAAAGGAAAGAAACCTGCCTCCGCAGTGTATGTTGTGTCCTTCAATCAGGACACAATTTTCGTTGCAAGAAGTTATAGACTTTATTCATGAGGGCTGCATATTTTTTTTTCTTATTTATTGTTTTTTTTTCTTCTCTGTGCTTGTATGAAAATCAAATGAACTCAAATTTTAATGTAACTGAATCAGGGTTCATGTTGAGTTTTTGAATAGGTTATGTCTTGTCAGCTTATAAAAATAAATGTAATGCAGAATTTCTATGATGGCTCCAGCATGCATGTACACATGCAACCATAGATTTAACCGATAATTTTCAACTTTTTATACCAAAATCATTTTATAGAATAATCATATTTGCAATAACCTTAAACCTTGGCTTATTTGAAGTGCCTTTTCATGTTTTTAAACATGTTGCATGTCTCAGGAGACATTTAGCTCAAGAAAGAAAAAAAACCACTTTTGAAGGAATGGTAATGCTGCTTTATGAGCACACATTGTTGATATTGTGTTATTAAAATAGTTTTTTGATATGATTTAGTCTGTCAAATGTTTGCAATTTTCTCTAATGAAATGCATTCAGTGCTTTCTAAAAAACCTTCCAGCAGTTTATTTTTGTGCACTGTAATGGATTTGTTTTCTATTAATATCTCTTATTATGAGACTATGCTTGCCACTGTTTTAGGTCCTGTATCATCAAGTGGGAATCCTTAGCTTTTCTATGATATCAGATGTAAATATTAATATATGATTGATATTTTTTCTTCTTTTTCAAGATCCAGACCGGCACAGATAAATGTTATGTTTCTTCTTTTTTAAGTGATGGCTGTTTTTGTGTTGAATCATGCATAACTCCATGTAATAAGGCAGCACAATACAGCGAGAGGAAAAATAATACGGTAATGCTTTATTTATGTTTCTCTTCTCACACTTTAGAACACGTACAAAATGATTTATAAATGAGAATCACATCCATCTTTATTGGTTTGATAATGAAATAGCTTGTAAAGATTGCAGCAAGCGGAGTCCTATGACTACAGGAACTTTCACTTGATACCAACAAAAGGAACAAGAAAACATTTCGAGGACCACCAATTCATAAACGACATAAAATGCACTTGAACTCCCACACATTGATATACCATATATATTTACATATAGAATTCCATGAAAACTAAAGCACTTTAAACTGTTTACTATTTTAAAAATAACTTTTGAGGAGATATAGGCATGTCCCACGAGTAAGCATTTTTTTTCCCCCGTTCATACTCCGACAAGTCCCTTCTGTGGCAGGATTGGCTAGTAGGAGCTTCTTACAACCAGTTTGCAGTTTGGACAGTTCAGAAGTCGTTCATGTAGCCATAGCAACCATATCAAAGAGATAAAAGGTCAAGGGGTGGGACTTGTCAGAATAGGAGCAGGAAAAAAAAAAACATGCTTAGGCTCTTCACATTCCTGCAACCATTTTCCCGTGATACTCTTTACCCTCTTCTGTTTCAGACACAGGTGGGGTTTGATCTATGGTCTCCTGTGCTGAATCTTGAGTGGGTGGCTTTTGGGGCGCCTCGGGCTCCTCTTTCC